TTATGTCCTTAACATGCATTTTTTAATTCAAGAAAAATGAATTTAAGCATTTTTTCTTCATGTGTCCTCTTTTCAGACTCTGTCTTTAAAACCATTAAAACAGATTAAGCATATTATTTCTGCAATCACATAAACAATTACAAATAAAAAAACTATACAAACTGGTGGTAGTTTCTATCAAAATTGAAAAGTAGCCCCCCAACAGTATTCTAAAGTTCTGTACCCAAATATATTACAATTCTACTAAACTGTATCATAAGCAGTACCTAATTCCCTAAAATGTCTTCAAAGCTTATTATATTTCACAAGGAATTTAGCAAGATTTCAGGAAGACTGATAGTTTTGATTCCAGAAAATACAGGAAAAATCTCAGAGGCAAAGCACAATAAAAATGCAAAATAGTAATAAAGTCAACAATAGCTTCATACTATTCACTTAAGAGAATATTCAAAAACATTCATGGATATATAAGTACAGTTTAACTATATTTAGGGATTTTCAAAGAATCACAGAATGCTTACATTTTTAAATTGGATGGGACCTTAAGTAACTTAATCCAATAGCACCCAAAATAAGAATCCACAGAATTTATCTTGCCTTCCCCTAAATTGTCCCTGTAGTGTGCTTTAAATTCTTTTAGCTAAATACTTCAACAGGCAGTTCTTTCCACTATTCGCTAAGTCCAGCTGCCATACAGTGCTTACGTTCTTGTCAAAAAACTATACTGAATTCAATCTACGCCTTCTGAACTTCCATCTGCTAGTATATCTTCTAAAATAATAGAATAAATTTATTCTCTCTTCTATTTGTGTTTGAAGTAACTGAATGAAAACAGCTATCCTGTTTCCCACCCTTTAAGTAGTCTCTTCTTGAGGCTGAATGTATGGTCCACAGGTTTCTTGTGGGCCCTATAAATACTTCTGGAATACAATGTATTTTCACATTATACATAACCATTTTTAAAAACTGCCACTTGTCGAATTTTGGTGTAATATTAAAAACGAATATATATGTCTTCTCAAAAAGCTATTAAAATAGTGATTTTTTCTTCCTACTACCTATCTATGCGAAGTTGGAGTCTCTTCACATACCTCAATCAGAACAATCACAAAACTTTTGAAAGCAGAAGCAAAAGCCAGCTGTCTTCCAGTAAGCCAGAAACTGAAGTGATTTGTAAAGATATAAAACAATCCACTAGTTTCACTGAAGTTGTTTTAGAATATTTATTCTAAGTTTAAAAACTTGTTAACATGTAAATGGTTTATTATTTTTAGCTAAATTAATATTTTTGAAATGATTTCATTTCTAATATAGTAAATATCAATAGACATACCGAACATAAACAAAGATCTCTTTAGAGTCCTCAGTAATTTTTAAGAGAGTAAAGAGGTCCCGAGACCAAATATGCTAAAGCAAGCCTACTTCTTAGGGGCAGACTCCCAGACCTCTAACTATCCAGGGTTTCTCTCTTCTCTCTCTCTCTCCCCTCTAATATGTAAATGTGCTTCTGAAATGGTCTCCATCTTGATACCTGGGAATTCACATATGCAATTCCTGTTAGCATTAGTGAAATGTGAGACTATAGCTTCAAGATGAATATATAGCCCTAGAGAGTATTTAACACCGTTTTAACTTGCTTGCTAGCTGGTCAAAAAGAAATATACCTACCTACAACATATCTGTTCATAAGCTAGAATCCTTAAACATACAACCCTATACCTTTCAGGTAGTGACTTCAAGAAACTAAAGGGCCATCTGGTATTATCTTTATTTTTAACATCTCCCTCCAGGTATTAGTCATCTGGAATCAAATACTTTAATTCCTCTATTTAAGGGAAGCAGTCTGTAAATATGGAAACAGAAAGCAACAGTTTAATTATACTGTGATATTATCTTTTTAACCAAACTACTTTCAGTATTTACATAAAAGTAAAGCAAATTTTCATATGCAGTAGAATGAAACAAAAAAAAAATAAGTCTTTTGTACAATCATTAATTTGACTCTTAGGAATAACCCATTCAAAAGTACCCATATACAGATAGGCAAAAAAAAATCCAACTGTCTGTCTAGCCAATACGACACTAAGTTTTGAGGCCTCAACAAAGCAAAAGTGAGATTTTTTTGAAAATGTACTTAATTTCTTAACTTCCCACCTCCTTAATCACAGGATTATTAAAAGATAAAACATGATAGAGATCACAGGTTTAAAAGAGCCTACGTGAAATCCCTAACTACATTCTGAGACTCTCTCAAGAAAACTTCAAGATTGATAAGGGAAAAGCTTTGGGATTTTGGAGATCCCAAGAAAATAAAAGTAGTCTACACTATATTTTACAAATTCCTCAATTCTAATATATTCCTAAATTCTGTAATATTTAAAAGCATATTTTATTTGTAATTAAGTAAAATTACATTAATATGACAAAAAGAATAGGGTGAGAAAGGGAGAGGAAAGGCCAAAATATGGAGCATTGAAAACAATCAGCTTATACTCTTTTGGTTTCAAATACATTAAAACTTCAGAATAATTTTTACAGCTACTTATGACACATCTTTAAAAATAGGCCATTTTCAAAGTTAGGCTTCCTTAAAAGTTCATCGCATATGTAAATAACCTTCGTATGTGTAACTATTCTTGTGTATATGTTTTAAGTTTAAAATTATTACATATTACATTAAATTGGTTCAATTTTTCAAGGTTTGTTCTCTCCTTGATACATATATTCAAGTTCCATTTACAGTAAAAATTCTTACTAGCAGTCACCAGAAGTCAAAAGCTCTCTCAATTAACATCACTGTATACAGCATACTAAATGTATACCTGGAAAAGATGCTAAACACCTGTTAAAATAAAAACTGAGATCCCACTCAATAGAAAACGTCTCCATCTTGATACCTGGCACTTAGTATATACAATTCCTGTCAGCATTAGTGAAAGCTGAGACTATAGCTTCAAGCTGAATAGAATATAACACTAGAGAATAACACAATTTTAACTTGCATGTTGGTTGTTCAAAAAGAAATATACCACTAGTTTAGGTAACATAAAAATCTACTGTAACCTAAACTGCTGAGGAAATTCTGGTTATTTGGAAATTCAAGCTAAATTATTCCAACCCCTCAAAATATTCAAACATCGGGAAAAGGGCAGAATAGTAGTGTCAGATGAAGTAACCTCAAAAGCTTACAATCTAGATTTTGCAAACCCCAAATTACTAATACTGATAACAGGTGTCAGAGATGAACAACTCAACACTATGTCTTATCTAGTACAGCACCTAGCTTACAAAAACGGCTCAATAAATATTTGAGAAACGAATGAATGCATGAAAAAAGGTGTAACCTTAAAAAAGGAGCCTTTCCCAAGACCATCATTTACTATCACTCATTACACTATCATAACGCTATCATTAAGCATCTTAATGAAACTACAAAAGTAAAAGCTGAAAGCGCCAACTGCTCTATTTACAAAGTAGATCTTAAAACATTCATTTACAAATTTTCAAATGCAAAGAAAACCAAATGAACTGAACTTGAGTTAGTACATAAATAAACTTATCTTCTAATAATCAGAACTCGGTGTTGGGGGTGCGATGGAAAAAAGGGAAAATGTCAGTCAATGTATTCAGCATGGTTAATGGATGCCATAAATCAAACCCTTCCATGAATTTTCTAGAGCAAATTCATGCCAATCTTTAAGCCTATTGTCACTTTCACACATGCTCACAGGAACAAAATGACAAAGAATGCTATGCCGGAACCAGTGGATTCAGGGCACAAAACACTTAACAATTGTCAAGGCTCTTCGCAAAAATTGACAGATATTTTCAAAGTAAATTAATCCCACCGATGCCTACATAAATCAAAGCTCCTGCTTTCTTTAGACGATTCATTCGACGATTGGACTGCCAAACGGTTTCTTTTTTAAAGGTGGCTACAATCTCCTGTGTGACACAACTGGGAGTGAACAACCTATTTCCCAATTGCTGATGAATAACGCTCAACGTTTTCCAGACAAAAGAGCGTTAAACGCGATTCCATGAACATTTATTCTCCCCCCATAAATGCGTGCTCTCCCAAAATTCATTTTACGTGGTATACTTAAAGTTAAATACAGCAAGTTGAAATTTTAGTCAGAAGCATTCCGGTGTCTCACTAGCTGTGTAACTGCTACATCTGGTGGCAGCACAATTGCGTGCAAGCAGCCAAAAACTTAGAAAACAATTGTAACCGACCTAGTGCGTGTTGCAGTAACCTTTACGCAGATATTTCCCACAAAACCCACGACACTGTCAGAGAAGAACAGTAGCCTACTTGCAGTAACGAGATAACGTACAAAAACACGTAAGAAGTGATGGCGAAGGAAAAAAAGTTGCAACCATCTGAAGGGGTGGTTTTAAAAGCCTGTCCACCAGAAACCTATTCTTCAAACTGCTCTAGGGAGCCAGGCAAGGGATCAATGTCGGCTTTGATAATTTCAGCGGCTCTCCCCAAAGGGGAGAGACCCTGCAAACGAGGGACAACCTCCAGGTCCTGAACAGCAAAGCTCTCAGAGCGAGGACCGCCTCTATGGGAGGAGTGCGCGAGGGAAGGGGAGGGGGCTCGAGGATGAATGCTTCAACGGGAGGGAAAACCCACCAGAGACCGGAGGCCAGGAGGTTAAGAGTACTGAGTGTACTAGCAAATGGAGCAGAAAGGGGCTCGCGTCCGGGGGGGCAGGCTTCCCACCCTAGGAAGACTGGCTAAGAACCCCGGACGAGTCTGTGCGCCCCGCCGCGCCCCGTCCCCTCCAGCCAGCGCGCACCCCCTCGTCCGTCTCCTCTGCCACCCGCGAACCACCACCCACAGCCAGCGCACTACCTCCCTGGAGCCGGGCCGCCTCGCGTCCACCTCGCCACCATCCCCCACCCCGGGGTTCAGGGGAGGAGACCGGGGGCGCGCGGGGGCCCCGGCGCGGGAGGGGAGGCCCTCGAACGGTCGCGGGTACGACGGCTCTTACCTTCCCTGGGCCTCCCGGATGGCGGCGTGTGATTCAGCAGGGACCTGGCCGCCGCCGCCGAGCCCGGGGTTGGAGACGTGGAGAGCTGGGACCAAGATGGCGGCCCCTCCAAACTTCCACTGCTACTTTGGACACTCATCAAGCTACTTTCTGGGAACCCGACTCCCCCCCTGCGACGGCAACGGCGGCAACGGCACCGGCACCCGCCTCCGTCATGGCGGGGGCCGCACTGAGGGCGAGCTAGAGAGCGAGGGCAGGGAGGGGAGAGTCAAGGGGATGGGGGAAGGAAGCCGAGAAGGAGGGAGGTGGAGAGGGAAGAGGTGAGGGGAGGAGAGGGGACTGGGAGGAGGAAAAGGGGGAGAAGCGAGAGAGCAGGCGGGCGCGCCGTAGAAGAGGCGGAGGGAAAGAGCGCGGCGGCGGAGGCGTCGAGGGGGCGTCCGCCGGTGCCGGCGTCCGAGCGCGGGCGGAGCGCGGGTTGCGACGGACGAAGAGACTTCCGCGGGCGGAACCTGCCGGCACCTCTGCAGTGCGTCGGCCCCCGGCGTCGCCCGGGTGGCGGCAGCGGCGGGCGGTGGGTGGCGGCTGAGGCGGCGGGGTAACCTCTGCATCAGTTACAGTCGGCGGCGGCGTCACGCGCCGCCTGTGCAAACACTATCGCGAGGCTCCTGCGCCTCCGGTAGCGGCGGTGGCGGCCGCGGGAGCAGGCATGGGGGAGGGACCTGCCAGGGGTTGGGGGCGGGGGTGTGGGGAGGGAGTGAGCGCGCGAGGGAGGAGATGCGGACGCCCCTGGCGCACCCGCGGATCGTGGCGCGGCGCGGGAGCCCTGGGTCGGCGGACTCCCTTGCACGGGGGCCACCTCCCCTCGCCGGCCGGAGGGAGGCGCGCCCCGCACGCGCCCCCGCCGCGCCGCTCTGGCTCCAGCTCCAGCTCCGCTGCCACCTGACTACCCCTCTGCCGCGGAAGCGCGCCTGGATTCCGACCCACACCCTGCCTGGGGAGAATTGCTACTCCTCGCTGGGCTGTCGTTTGCCAGGAGTTCGATGTGATCATTTCTCAAAATGGAACTGAAAAGTTGCGAGTTGCTGCTTCCTTACCTATCTGTACTGTGCAAAAAAAGGAAACACAAAAGAACAAAACTATGTGTTTCTCCATCTGCAGAATGGGAGTGATTGCCGAATAAAAGCTAAGAAAATAAGTTGGAGGTGGAGTGTGGAAATAAGACTTTATGAATGTCCTCAGAAAGAGAATCCTTACCAGTGTTGTACACCATATGTGTGGTATATCACTTCTTTAACAATAAGTGGAAAATCTAAACATTTGATCACTGGATTCACGTATTTATGGAAACTATCCAGTGTTTATCTTGTAGGAGAGGGTATGGTTTCTAGAAAGTTCCAACTTGTTTCCAGTGCCACTGCTGAGTCCCGACCACAAAACTCCAAAGCAAAATAACATAATTTGCTTAAATTTAAAGATACATAGTATAGTTTTCTACACTGCCACACATGTACGAGACACACCAGGGACTGGATATCTGGTACATAAAAGAGAAGTCTAATAGTTAAGGAAATATACAAGGTTATTATTGCTCTCTTTAAAAAAACAAATTGCATAAAACACGAAAAAGATTATGATACAGAGCAACTGTACAGGCATGCGGAAATGGCATGATTACCAGGGGGACAAAAGTGTCATTTTTATTTTTATGACTTTGCATTTCTCACAGTAATGTTCTGTTCAGATAAACTATCATCCTAGAATAGAACCTTGGTTGTCAGTTATCTGCAGAAGTAATTTTAGTTTTCTTATGCTTCAGATTCTTCAGTGAGTTTCTAGTCTTGTTCTGTTTTTCAAGCCTTAATAGGTAGATTTCACAGACTGAACAGCTAGTAGTGATGTATAATTGGCATACAATAACTACATATTTAAAATGTACAGTTTGGTAAGTTTTGACACATACATACCATTGAAACTATTTCTACAATCAAGATAATGTGTATCCATCACCTTCCAAAGTTTCCTATACCCTTTTAAGTTTCCTCTTTCACACCACCGTCCTCCCCAAGTAACTACATGTCTGTTTTCTGTAACTTAAGATTAGTTTGCATTTCCAAGAATTTTAGATAAATGGGATCATACAGTTTGTACTCTTTTTGTCTGGCTTCTTTTACTCAACATAATTATTGTAGCTTAAGAGAAAGATATTCGACACATACTTATAAAGAGACTACTGCAGGGAACTAATCAAATAAACCGTGTGTGGCTTAGCCTGAAAATGGAATGTCAGGCCATCATTTAAAATCACGTCTTCAAAGAGCATTGAAAAAGATAAAATTTTCACACTACAGTAAAAATGAAAAAGTGGGTACAATCCCAATTTGTAAGTAAATATAACATGACTGCATGGATGCACCCCAAAAAGTTAATGGCTAGCCCGTGGGTTGTGACATTACATCATTATTCATTCCTCCTTCATGCTTTTTCAAATTTTGTACAATGAGTCATGTATTTAAGTAGTTTAAGTTTAAAAGGGGCCTGAACATGAATTGTGCAAACACATAATTTTATTAAATGATTATGATTAATGGAAACTTTTAAGTGGTGAGCAGAGGTTCCACCACACCTTGCACATTGGTTAGTACATGGGAACTCAAAAAATGTTTGCTAGGTAAATAGGATGGTTAGAGTGATATCTCACACCATAGGAAAAGATACAGAAAAGTCGGAAGAGTCCTGATTGGGCTGGAAAGGAACACCTGCCACTCCGTGATAAAGGAAAAGTCTCAAGAAAAAGAAAAAATGATTGGAAAGGGGTTGGGGCAAGCTTTCTTGGGGAAATATTTCCAAAAAGAAAGTATGAAAACAGAAGTGAGCTGAGCAAGTGAAGGGAGAGTGAAGTAAACCTGCCTAGAAAGAATTAGGAAGAGACAGGAAAACGTTCTTTCTGTGAACTGAGTACTCCATGACAGCAGGGACTCAAGCCCCTAACACAGTGCATGGCAGAGACCAAGGGCTCCGTCAGTGTCTATGGAATGAATGAGTGATGAGGATCAATGAGCTGGGATACAGGTGAGGGAGCGATGCAGAAGAGGTCTTCAAGGGTCTCCACGTAGCAGGTCATATACAAAAGGGGAGATATGACCCCAATCTATGGACAAATTGTCATAATTTACAACTAAGTTTATTAAACTCTTTTCTACGTATGTGTCATAATAAAAATATTTACAAAGCACACAATATTATAAATATAATAAATGCATTTGTTATACCTCTTAACATTTGATTCCTTCTAAATTTGAAGAAATAATTAATACCTAAGCCCCTTCCCTCCAAACCAACCAGAAATTCGCCCAGAGACTGATGAAGTGTCCTTTGTAAGTCCTCCCCAACACAGTGGAATGCTGGAGCCAGTTCACACTGCCCCGGGGAGCAGCTAGTGTACAGCTCTCCCAACTGAGCTCAATGATGTCGCATCAGTAGCCTGAAATTGGCCCTAGTAAGAGTATTTATGACTTCAAAGTCAGCAAAAGTTACAAATCTGGGCTTCTTCACCAGCACACCTCTTTCCTGTAGGACATAGATCATTGCTTTATTGTCCTCTATTTCCCCACCTTGGCTAAAACCTGAGGAGGACAAGGACCTTGTCTGTCATGTTTACAGTTGTATTTCCAATATCTAGCACCTGCCCGGATACAGTAGGTGCCGATTACACATTGGCTGAGCCAATCAATTACCCATATAGCTCATCAGCAAGCACTTCAGCCCCTTGAGCGAACCTGCTGGTAAACAACTGGGTTGGCCACTCTAGCAGAGGAAGAAAGAGTCAAATACTCCACCAACCCCTCACTTTTACCCTTCATTGCCCAATGTTTGTGATTTAGTAAAGTTTATTGACCTTGTTAGACTTGCCAGATGAAATACAAGTTTTGCATGGACTGAAAAATTACCAATTGTTTATGTGAAATTCAAATTTAACTGAGCACCCTTTATTTTTATTTGCTAAATCTGGCAACCCCAGCCCTCCTGAACTAAGCAAAAAATAATTAATGAGATATTACCTAGTAAAGTTGAAGATATTTTGACCTGGCAATTTCATTCTAAAGAATATATCCTGGAGGAATTCTCATGTGTGCCGGGATATAAGAACAAATATACCCAGGGCACTACTGTTTATAGTAGCCCAAAATAAAACCATGAAAATGTCCATCAGCAAGAGAATAAACCAAATAGTTATTTATATTCATACAGTAGGATACCATATAACAATTAAAATGCTCACAATCATAATGCTAATTTTAAAGAACAAATTAAGGGTGAAGTCAGTTTGATTCCAGTTATAACTCATTCAAAACTAAATAATACACTGTTTGGGGATATATATGTAGCAAAACTAGAAAGAAAAAAAGAAATGAGAAGCCAAAGTCAGAGTGGTCACTTCCACCAGGGAAAAAGGGGGATGTGTTGGTGGGGGAGCCAAAGGAGCTTCAAAAGTATCAACAAACACACTACTTGTTTAGCTGGGTGGGAGTATGTTTGTTTTATTCTTTTTCTTTAAACTGTATGACCATATTAAATTTACCCTTATATGTGTATAATATTACACCACAAATGTTTAGGAAATGAGGAATTCTGAGCCTTGTATCAGAGTAAACTAAGAAGCCCACCCTGTCACCTTTGCCTGCATTCACTCTCAGATTTGATTTCCTTCTTTGTGCAAATGTATACACACAAATAGGTCCTCTCAGGATGCCTACCCTATCATCTAACCTGTCACCTCAATAATACTTTTGATAGATGCTTAGACAGGTGGCTTCATTTCACTGGATTATGAAGAATTCTCATCTCACTGAGTTTGTTCTACCTGCCCTGCCCAATTACAAAGCTACAGCTTGAAGATTTAGGTTTCCAAATCCCTGTAGAGGTAGTTCCAGAGTTGTGTGCATAATGGGTTAGGTAACAATTCATCTGCTCTCTTGCAATGGAAATGGTTTCCTTCAAGTTTATCAACTCATTTGGGTGTGTTGGGGGTGGAGAGGGAGCCCTTGTCTGTACATAACGAACACTGGAATTACTGGATTCTCAAACTGATTCATTTCACCTGAGGTTAAAAAATTATAATTAACTTCAGAACAATATTACCTCCCCTAAAGGGCACGAGAAGCTGTCCTCCAAGGACATGTGTACTGTGAAATGTTTACAAAAACAAAGTACAGCAATCAAACAGTGCTCCTATAGCAGATTTAAAATCAAGAATGTATCACTTAACAAAGCAATGTACTTAGAAAGGTGCTTGAGAAAACAGATAAAACCAATTGCAAACTAGTGTTCCCCTTCACTCATCTTACATTTTACTGATTAAATCAAAGGAAAAATAAAAATTCATCATATCCAAGGGGAAAACAAAGATTCCCAAAACCTTAGGCTGGACTTTGTTTTTGCAATAGGAATTATTTATAGGCAAAGAAGTCAAAGTTTCTTTTCATAAAAATTAATATCAAACATCTTTGATTTTTGACAATATCTTTCCAACCACATAGTTTAAAGAGTTACAAAATCACTTAATGCTTCCTCAGCAAACATAACCTAAGTGCTAAAATGTCGTA